TACTTTACACTGAACTATACTTGGTTTCATTTTGTCATACAGGTTCAGTGTTCAGGATCATTTAAAAATCATTTTTCAGCCCAGCACTCTAAATAGAACATTATTGATATTTCCAATGTCTCCAGCTTGCTTTTGCGTGAGACTTTGAAAACAAAGATACTTGCTTCAAGGAAAAGAGGGCTTAGAAGCAGTCATATCAGGTTGCCCTCAACTTATGACCACACTTGGAACCAGAGTTTATGTTGCTAAACAAGATGTTTGTTAAGTGACGTATCCAATTTTTTGATATTTAAGTTAATCACTGCAAGTTATTAGGCAAATCTGTTTTCCCCCATTGGCTTTGCTTTCCCCATTGGCTTTGCTTTCTGGAAATCAGTGGGAAGGTCACCACAGATCACATGACCCCAGGACGCATCAAACATCATAAATACAAATTAGTTGCTAAGCACGTAAATTTTTATTACATGACTATAGGGATGCTACAACAGTCATAAGTATGGGGCTGGTTGTAAGTCACTTTTTTTCAGTGTTATTTTCAGTTGTAATTTGGAACAGTCACTAAACAAAGGATTGTAAGTCAAGGATTACCTTTATGTTGCATACTTTCGTGTTGCACAGATTTGCCAAGGTTTCAATGATATTGCTAATAGATAAGATAGACAAGTCCCCAAGTGCATTCAGGAATCATCTGCATTTAGCACTTTGATTGGATTGTCTTGACTGATTTTTAAACACAACACCCCCCTTCCCCATAAAGGCCAATAGCAGCCACCAGCATCAAACTGACTGAGGAGTATCTGTGTATAATATCAGAGTTACAACCAGCCCCTCTACTTTCTCATCAACGTCTCAAACTAAATATGAAATCTAGTATATGTCCTGCTGAATGATTCAGACCAAATAACAGGAGAGGCCGTTGATCATTATGTCAAAATGAAATCCTTAACCATTGCTAACTTGGCAATCTTAGTGTTGGCTGTGTTTTGTGTAGGAATTAATTTAATTATTTCTGACAACTGGATTTCAGTTGTAGATTTAATCACCACTTAGGAAATAGGTGCAAGTGTTGAACACAGTTGCAGAATATTCACAAATATTCAGTAAGACAAGATAGGCAAAGATAATTTTATTAAGTATATACTGATTAACAATACAGAAAAACTTAGAACAACAGAGTTCGAAGTGACATTGGATGTCTTCTAAATTCAATCCTTGCTCAAGCAGAAAATCCAACACCATTTCTTCTTAGAAGTCTCCAAAAGCACTCACAAATTCTAGAGGCAAGTCGTTCCATTGATTAATTGTTCTGTCAGGAAATTTCTCCTTAGTTCTAGGTTGCTTCTCTCTCTTGATTAGTTTCCACTCATTGCTTCTTGTCCTGCCTTAAGGTGTTTTGGAGAATAGGTTGACCTCTGTCTTCTTTGTGGCAGCTCCTTAGATATTGGAACACTACTATCGTGTCACCCCAATCCTTCTTTTCATTAAACTAGACATACCCAATTCCTGCAACCGTTCTTCATGTTTTAGCTTCCAGTCCCCTAGGTTTATAAAGCCCGTACGCTAAGATTTATTCAGGATTAGGTTTATGAAGTCTTGTTTCAAATAACTATAGATAAAAGGCAGACTATGCACATTGGGATGACTATTCCACTCAATTCCACAAATCAGAGGAAAGGAGCACCCCATAAGGGTATGTATATATAGTATGGTACACACCTCTCCAAAATATGCTCCTTAAAACAGTGCATATTAAGTGATCATGATGATAATGATTATCATAACGTGGCACTGTTTGTGATCAGTCTAAAAAGAATGATGGATAGGGTTAACCTTGAACATACACAAGAAAAGTATTCCTTTCTGCTGAAGAACAGGTTTGCCGAAAGAAGACATTGGTAACTACAAAAACAGAGAGAAAGAGATGCTAAAGATGCAAGTTATAGAAAAAATGATTAAAGGGTTGAAAAAGATAAGAAATAAAATATAAATATCTGTCTTTAACTGAATAGCATTAAATGCATGTTTGATAGAATCCAGATGGAGCTACAGCTTTCAAGTTACAAGCACAGACTGAAAAAGGCTGCAAAAAATAATGCATCTCCCAAGGATAACCAGGATATATTCAGGACATGAGCTTTCACCACAAGAACATGTCGGTCCTACATCCCTCTTGTCCTTTAACCTTCATGCCTGAGGGCTGCCAACCACAAGGGATTAAAAAAAAAAAAGTCTTCCACAAATTTTCAAATCTAAATCAAAATAGTCCAAAAGCAGCCGAGGAAACATCCATAAGCAAAACTACAAGGAGCAGACATTGTAATTTTTTTATAAGGGCAAAAGATAAAGAACATTGAACAAAAGAGGCAAGATAAAGTCTTTCAATTAAGGAGTCAAGCACAATGTGAAATCCAGAGTTGGATCATAAAATCCAATTACCTGTTCATATAGGAATCTATTACGCCAGATTAGGTACATAAAATTGTATAGGTATTGTGTCACAAGGAGATGCCAAAACAGAGTCCAGAAAACAAATGCAGCTCATCAGAAAGTAGATCATAACTAAGATCTCTAAACCCATAAACTTTCCAATAATTGTAACAGCCAAATTGCAATTCCTTACCAGTTACTATTTAAAATTTTGTTTTCTGATCATGCTTCAGTCTTTACTCTTTTCAATATCCTTAATCCTCTCATTCTAGCAAACCATAATTTAATAAGACCAGAAACATTTGGCAACTGTCCCAATTAAATCCCAACTCTTCTCCAATAATTGCAATGAAAATAGAGTTATCCACCTTAAGGGATGTCAAAAGAACCACTTTAAGGGTCACTCCCTTATCAGCAAGCCTACTAATGGTAAAATCATCACCTCTGGGAGCAAAAGTTAGGTTGAGAGCTAGAATTTCTCTCAGAGCAGACTTGTCAGTTATATCAACAATCTAAATTCACCCAGTTTTAAGATCAAAAACAGAGGCCAGAGCAACTGGGAAAAGCAGGAAAAAGAAGTTTCCTGTAGAGAAATATAGAGATGACCTGGGAGAAAGTATGTAGAGAGGGTTAGAAACACGCTTAAGATTGGAAAGCAAAACATGAGGGGGGAACTCAAATTGGCTCCACCCAAACTTCCTGGATTATAAGACAGTGAGGAGAGAAAATGTTGTCAGGCTTTCAAGATTCTGTTACTAATAAACTAGAGTTTCATTGAAACTTGCCAAGTCAATTTCCTAGTCTGATCCACCTTGAAGGATTGTCAAATTATATACAATGGGTAAAATAGAGAATTATCTGTTTATTCTAACAAAAAGCAATCAACCAGTGGTGGGATTCAATTTTTTTTACTACCAGTTCTGTGGGTGTGGCTTGGTGGGTGTGGCTTGGTGGGCGTGGCTTGGTGGGCGTGGCAGGGGAAGGATACTGTAAAATCTCCAGTCAGAGGTGGTATTTGCCGGTTCTCTGAACTACTCAAAATTTCCACTACCAGTTCTCCAGAACTGGTCAGAACCTGCTGAATACCACCTCTGCAACCAGCCATTTTAAGCATTTATATCTACTATGCAAGAAAGTTTCTTATTCTTGTACTATACTGTGTGTCTGAGGAGCTTCAGTGAATTTGAACCTAGGGACTTAGTCAAGCTATATCAAGAGTAGCATCTGAGAATTACACCCCCCTACCAGGGGTGGGATCCGACCGGTGTAACTACCGGTTCGGTGATTTTACATTTTGCTCCTGACGTGCGCTGCGCACACGTGTATATCATTGTCAGCTAGCTGCCTGGACAGCTGAGCAGCGCTGCGCGCACGTGCGCAGTGGTTGAAAAGCCATTTTTCCCCTGTTTTTTCAACTGCAGCTGTGTCACGCAAAGCAGCTGCAGTTGAAAAAAACAGGAAATAAAGGTCAGGTAAGAGCCCGGGCGGGCGGGCGGGCCAAAAGAGCAGCAGACAGGTTCTGCTACAGGTTCTATGTATGGTCTCTGTTTAATGCTCTTCAGAGCAACCGGCTCTACAGAGGTGGACAGAACCGGTAGAATCCCATCCCTGTCTCCCCCCCCCCCCCACACCAAATTCTTGTTAAGAAACCTGAAATGGGCAATAATCCTTTCAAAGCCAGGGAACTGGCCGTTCGATCTTTATACAGAGATGTTCCACCTGGACAAGTCTTCAGTGCTCCTGGTCTTGAAAATATCAAGGGGAGTTGTTTGCATCAGCTCTTTTCCTAAAGAACAATAAATTTTTCATACCCACAGATTGGATGGTGGAGCCTTGACATATAGAAAAGCTATGTATGTCTTCTGTGGTTCTGATCCTGCAAACAACACTGGCAGGGACAGTTGCTACATTGACAGCAAGTCTCTCTTAAGGTTCACCAGTCACAAAGCAAATTCCTTTTATAGTAGCCAATAATAAATTGTTAGTAGACAAAACTGTTGAGGCAATCCCACAGATGTTCTGTTGGTTTGCCACAATCATAAACTGAAGGGTTGCCATAATAATTAGCTTTGCCTCATTTTCTAGAATGAGAAATCTTGACTGCCATTTGTAGTTTATGGTCACAAATTGCCTTTCTATATCTTACAGAGGGACCCAGTAATCCATTATGAAGTACATTAAAGAAAAAAAAATGCTAGTATTAAGTTGCAATAATGCCATTTATGGTACATTTCAGAGATTAATTCTAATTTTTCCCTTAACATAGATTTTCAGTTATATTGGTTCTCTTTTTCTTTACTTTTCCAATGTGTGTGTGTGTGTGTGTGTGTGTATTTGTGTGTGTGTGTGTGTGTGTGTGTGTATCTTATTATATCAGATTCATTTAGTAGGAGTTATTTCAAATGTTTCATAAGGAATTTTGGAATAAAAGCATGATTGCTCTCTTCATTTTTAATCAAGGTTATGCTTTTAATTGCTTGACTGAATTATGAAGAGCAGCTTTAAAAAATCTGTTTAACCAGTATTTAAAATATACTGTTTTATTTCTCTTATTCTCTCCCTGATTCTTACAGACTCACATCGGGAATTCCTTCACAGGCCTGCTTCTGGATATGTTCCAGAGGAGATCTGGAAGAAAGCTGGTAAGAATTGTTTAAAAACATGAGCATAGCAGTTGGCAGCTGTGTGTATTTGTTAATGCTTTGATATAAGGAATTTTAAAAAGAAAAAGAAAGAAAGGGATTGCAAATAAATCAGTTTCAATTCCTAATGCTTAGCTGGAATGGATCAGTACACAAAATAATTTTAATTACATCAGCATCTACGTCAGAAGGTAAGAGGATATCAACATAACACTAAAAGAAAAACGATACCCAGATTATATCACCTGTCCTTATGGAGAAGTCTAAATATTCTGCCTGTCCTGTACAAATACTATACAAATACAAAGGCAGATAGATAAACTCCACAAAGCATCCATACAAAATCTTTTTATTGGTTCATCAGGCATCTTGTCAACTCACATTTATGATGAGGTTCTTCTTAATGTGCAATCCTTTGCGTATCTGAATTGTGGTGTAGGAAGATAATAAGGTCTCAACCCCATGATGATTGAAGCAGCCGCATGGTATGGTGGTTTCAGGCAAGAGTGAAGGAGACCTCCCCCGACCCACCAAGGGTCAATTTAGTGACCAATCTGGATTACATATGTGACCACATGACATGGACTACATTTCCCAGGATACCTTAACTACATTTACCATGATGCATTCCCTTAAGGGGACAGCTCACAAATCCTAACTAACTATCCCAAATCCCATTAACTCTAAACTGTCTGGACAGCACACTAAATCTAATGCTTTTTATACATCATTATTCCAATGGTTGGCAGGTAATATCTGCTAATAAAGCCATTGTATTGTATGAGGAGATCTACATTATTATTTTTTTACTTACAGACTTTGTGTCATGCTCTGAGCTACAAATATTTGTATTTGCTTGACTGCAATCAAATCCATTGGCTAAATCCAAAGGAAATCCACCCTGGTAAATTGATGCTGATAAAGTTGAGAAATTAAATTTGGGGGATTGAAATTTTTTAAAGCCCATGATCTGGATCAGACAAGTATTCTCATCTTTTTACCAGTTATTGTTGATCACCCACATCCCCAAACATTTCCCATATTACACTTCCCACTATTTATCATCATACAAGAATGAGTGTAGCAATGAGTAAATATAACAGATAATCAGGGTTGGAAGGGACCTCGTAGGTCATCTAGTACAACCCCCTGCCCAAGTGGGAGACCCTACACCATTTCTGACAAATGGCAGTCCAATCTCTTCTTAGAAGTCTCAAGTGATGGTGCTCCACAACTTCTGAGGGCAAGCTGTTCCATGGGTTGATTGTCTCACTGTTAGAAAGTTTCTCCTTATTTCCAGGTTAAATCTCTCCTTGTTCAATTTCCATCCATTATTCCTTGTCTGGCCTACAGGCACTTTAGAAAATAGCTTGACCACTTCCTCTCTGTGGCAGCCCCTCAAATATTGGAAGACTGCTATCATGTCTCCCCTGGTCCTTCTCTTCACTAGACTAGCCATGCCCAGTTTCTGTAACCATTCTTCATAGGTTTTAGTCTCCAATCCCCTAATCATCCTGGTTGCTCTTCTCTGTACTTTTTCTAGAGTCTCAACATCTTTTTTTATAATGTCGTGACCAAAACTGGATGCAGTACTCTAGGTGTGGTCTTACTAAGGCTTTATAGAGTGGTATTAGTACTTCCCTTGATCTTGATTGTATCCCTCTGTTAAAACAATTTAGGATTGCATTAGCTTTTTTGGCTGCTGCTGCAAACTGCTGGCTCATATTTAGCTGGTTGTCCACTAAGACTCCAAGATCCCTCTCACAGTTACTGCTATTGAGCCTGGTTTCACCCAGTCTATATGTGTACTTTTGGTTTTTCTTGCCTAAGTGTAGGACTTTACTTTTCTCTACACCGAATTTCATTTCGTTAGATATCGCCCAGTGTTCTAGTCTGTTAAGATCCATTGAGTAGGAAGAGGGGTTCCACCATACTAAACAAAGGCAAGGATTGGGAAGTTTTGGTGGAACTTTATTTATTTAGTTAGCGTATGGCATGTGTTAGCTAGGGATCACCGAAGTGGCTGGCTGCTGTTGTGAAAGGAATTTTTTCGAGCGGTGTTATCTTTACCCGAGGTACACTTCAATGCTGGTAGGCATTCGGGAGAGTCTCCTTTTTTGTCCCTGCACAGTTTATTCGCTCACAGGAATCAAACCGCACTGAGCTGCTGACCTCAGTGGTGCGCAAGCCCAGCATCTTACCACATGAGCCACCACAGCCCTGATGCAAGGAACTACTTGCAAGGAAGAGATTTCTCATTTTCTCATTGTTGAATGGATCAAGACATGAAATTGTTTCTGGGTTTTTGTGAATGAAAAGAATTCATTTTTTGGCCAGGCCAAGAAAACTTTAGAATATCTCCCCATTTCTACTTTTGTGTTGGATACTTCCTGTGCTTTCTACATGCTAGCACAAAAATTGCCACAAATGTCCCTTTTATTAGACTATTACCCTTTTTTAAAGATATATTTAGCATATTCACCTGAAGTTTTGGTTCAGAACCACAATAAACAAGACCCTAGGTTTATATGTTGGTTGATTTCTAATAAATATTAATTGATAATAATTATTACTGCTTTGGTAATATTTTGCAGTACTGTTTGCTTATAAAACTCTAAGCTCCAAGGGCAAGCACTAATATTTGTAATTTTTTCAGGTTACACAAAATATTATAAAATAGAAATATGATTGTTAATTACACATAAAAGAGCCTGTAATCACGTTCATTTCTTCTTTTTAAAAACGTTTGTAAAGACAATAATATGATTTTCATTTGTGGGTTTGTCTTCATGTATTTCTTTTTCAAGGGATCTGAAAATGTTTGCAGTTGGTAATAAATATTCAAACATCTTGCAAATGTCCTACCAATTCTCTTTGCTGATCTTTGTATGCCGGTGGGACTAGAATAGGAATGCATAATTTAAATATAAATTGCCTTATTTGCATATACAATTAGTCAAGCTGCAGCTTTAATCGTAAGCAAAAATTATTGTCCTGTTGCCACTTACACAGAATAGTAATTCACCTTGAATATTCAAAATAAATGAATCTTGACTTGCATAGCCTCCAAATATTTACGGGAGGGTAAAGTGAAGACATATTTTAAGTTTCATAAACTTAGCATTTTTCCTCTCTAGGCACAATATCAATATTTATCTTAACATATTTTAAAAGAGGGTGAGATATTAATAACCATGTGTTCTAGACACAGAAGGTGCCACATGTAATGCATGATAACTATTTAGAATTATCAGATGGATCAATACTTTTCATTAAAGCTAGTAGAGAATTATAGTTCCAAAAACTTATTCCAGTTTTTGGTATAATTTTTCTACACATTCCTATTGATTAGGTTACTTCAGTGAATAAACAACATTTTTATGAAAAAAAAAACATTTTTAGAGTGAAAAGATCGATAAAGGGAAGGCATCTGCCCCTTACACTTCACAGAGGAAGGTTCTACATCTGGCAATTTCCTACTCTGAACAATATGGACAGCTTGATTAATTGAATATATTGTATTGCCTTCAGACACACTAATGTAACATAACTGCCTGCACACTACTACAGAAGATATGTTAACATTTTTGGTTTATTAAGCTGATAAATATTTATTCAAATTGGTCACGAAATATCTTACATTTTCTGCCATTTAGGAGAAGTGATAGTTCTATTGGATGGATGGATGGATGGATGGATGGATGGATGGATGGATGGATGGATGGATAGATAGATAGATAGATAGATAGATAGATAGATAGATAGATAGATAGATAGATAGATGATAGATGATAGATACTTTCTGAATCAAGAATGTAGCCAGGATTTTAAAACTTATGTAAATCATGTCATATATCCAAGTAGAATTTAATGTGGGCTTTTGGAATATCACATATAAAAATCAGACTTCTATTGACTCAAAGACAAGTTTCAAATGCAGTTGATGATGAAATGGAACATTTTGATGTTCTTCAGCCAAAATGTTTCTCAGTCTAATGTTTCTTAGTCTATGCAGTTAATGAGTGTAGTTATATGCTTATCTTCATACATGTAGGTCTCATTGAATCCATTGAGACTTAATTTCTAATAAGAATTCCTAAGGTTGTGGCCTTAAACTCAGATAAGTTTAAGAATACAATAGCATCAGATAAGGAGAATTAAATTTATAGTACTGGAAAATAATGTACATCTCACCATAACCACTGAGTTTTTGTAACTCAAATATTTTTATTTTACAGTTAAACATTTTTATTAGAAATCTTATGTATTTAATTAAACAGAACATTTAATTAAGGTGCTTCTTAAGTGGGTGAAACAATTAAGTGCAAATACTTGAATGAAACATGTCATAATTAGTTTTAATAGAGTGTTAATTGGTACTACATTTGCCAAGTTAATAATTAGTGCTTATTAAATTTTCAATTAATCATTGTCATTTTGCTTTGAATAAAGATGAAAATTAGATACACTAAATCAGAGGGAGGATAGTTTCCTTGTTAATTAGAGTAGTTAGTGTTATTTTTTAAAATCACTTGTTTCAGTTGTCAGTTGAATACATGAAATCTTCCACCTCTCAAAACCCAGTCAGCTCTTTGATGACAAATTATGTTATATACTGTGAAAAAGAATATTGCATTATGGTAATTTTTGCTAGCTAATTTAAATGGAAGACATGATAACTCTTTGCATTGTTCTAAAACACTGATTTCTAGAAGGATATTTGAAGAAAAAAACCATTAACACCATTGAGTTCAACCACCACCAAAGTCCCATAAAACTGTTTTAACTGTGAAATCTGAACTTGTACCAATTTTGTTCTTTTTTGTTCTACCAAGCCTCTGCGGTGTAAGTACTGTATTTGAAATCAGAGTTAGAGGAAATTTCTAAAAAACTGTTGCTGTATTTACCCAAATTTCTATGACGTTTTTGTACCATTTCTGTGTTCTGTTGTCACCTGGGTCTATGTTAGGGTTAATTACTCATTTTCGATTTCTTTGTTCCTCCAATAATGTCCTCCAATATGGTGGACACCCACCATGTCCTCTTTTCATGTTGATTATAGATCTGCATTTCTACAGCAAAGATTTGTGCATCAAAATTTATTATGATAGCTTTGTGAATATTACCTCTCTGATACCATCCCCAGCATAGACACTCCCATGGGACCCCAATATACTAGAAAGCTGGAAATACGTTCTATTGTTTAGTAGCTGGTATCATGTGCTCTTTGAATTTAAGGACATTTACCCAAATATAGAATATTTGCATTACATAGATAAGTAGCTTCTATAATCTAACTGTGTTTGTGCATAAAAATCAGTTGTTTTTTTATCTTGCTCCTGCTGTACCAAGAGAAATTTCTTATTTTGTTTACAGAGGAAGCAGTCAATGAAGTAAAACGGCAAGCAATGACCGAGTTGCAGAAGGCAGTGTCAGAGGCAGAACGGAAAGCCCATGATATGATTACTTCAGAGAGAGCTAAAATGGAGCGCACAGTGGCAGAGGCCAAACGACAGGCTGCAGAGGATGCATTAAGTGTGATCAATCAGCAAGAGGATTCTAGTGAGGTGAGAATTTTGTGATGAAGAATAAGGCCATATCTGTGTCCAAAAAGTTTGGGCACAATAATAAGTAAAAAGTAAATAATACATTTATCAGAACTGGCAATGAAAGTTTTAGTGAATCTATAAATTATCAGGAACTTTCTAGTCTATAGAAGAAAGAGATGATGATGATTCTTCCTGATCATTGAGTAACTTTAAAAACTACACATCCCAGCATTCATGTGTGTATGAAGTAAAATGCAGAGCTTTAACTATTCTTAGTTTTCCTCATTTTCTTCTTCACCCTCTTTTGAACTTGGCTATCATAGAAAAAGAAAGGAAAGCAGAGAAGACAGAGCTGACAGGACTTCCAAAAGGAGAGTTCCTTTGTATATTATCCTCCTTGACAGATTAGATAATGTTGCGGTAATAAATCGGATCAATTTTATTTTTTGAATATGTTTAAAGCTGAGAGCCAATTTGGTCTAGCGGTTTAGGAACTGGACTTGGAGTAGGGAGACGTCAGTTATAATACTCTCTTAGGCACAAAAGTGAATATTGTGATTTTGGGCCAGTTGTTCTCTCTCAGCCCCAGGAAGAAGGTAGTGGCCAGCCATTTCTGAAATTAAGTCACTGTACACAGTCTTAGATGCCCTAGGTTCATATGAGTTAACATATAACAAGCCAAAACATTCCTTTGTTTGTTATAATTGACAGAGATATCTCCTAACTCTTGTACTTTACATTCTATTCACTGGGGTGAATTTTGAAATATTTCAAAGTTTAATCCAATTTGATGTAGTAGTTAAGGCTTTATTAGGCTAAAAACCAGAAGACCCTGAATTCTAGTTCTGCATTGGGCATGAAATCAGCTGGGTAACCCTTGGACCACTCACTTTTTCTCTAAGAAGGAGGCAATTTCAAACCACTTTTGAAAAAACTTGCCAAGAAAATTGCAGGGATTTTCCAGATAGTCTCTGAGAATTGGACATTATGGAAGAAAAAAAATGCAAACTACAAATTGTACAGTAAGATAAAGTTATCCATTATCAATATGTCAGCCTGAGATTGCAATGTTGTGTGCATACTTATTATGGAGTAATCCCACTAAGTCAATGAAACAGTATTTTGAAGTAAGGATATTTTGAATTCTCCAATGCAGATATTAAAATAGTTTTAAAAGTATTTAGATCATATTTATTGAGCTCATGTTTTCCTTCTGATTTCATGTATTCCACAGTGTATTAAAAGAAGTCACTGCAAATGCTACTCTAAATTTCCACGTTTTATTTTGTGATTGCATGCTGGTTCCTCCATAATGTAGATAGGATGGACATATTTATAGGCATAATGAATAATAAAAGAATGGGGATGGAATATCATTTTGTGGCAACAGTTACATTAACATTAAAAAAAATCTCACTTGATAAATAAATATTAGAAGTGTAATCTTATATTGGTGATTTCTAACTAGTTTTCAGTTATATTTAAATTGTATATAATAGTTAAAACAATTCCACAAATAGATTGCATTTCAACTCCTTTCCAACAAATAGAAAGGGTATATGTTTCAGTAGAAAATAAATCATTTTGTATAAGTATACTGGAAATCTATTTTAGTATACTTGTATGATCAATAAAGAATGAGGTTTTTAGAATGCAAACAAAATGTGTTATCAGGTTTGTAACATCCTTTTCTGAACTGGAACCTATTATTTCAACTGCAGGATTTTCTGTAAAGGGAATGGTGAGAAAACAGCATCTGGCAGAAGAAAACAGATTCAAAGAGCAACAAAGAGTATATTAGGGACAATGATGATAAACCTTAGTTCAGGCTGGAAGATGTCAGTGAAAGCTTTTGGGGGGCACATATGGCACCATATATAAAAGGAAGTAAGAATACAGAGGGAGGATCATATATTCTGTTGCAAATCCAAGTGTTTTGGATAAAATGAATTCTTGTGTCTTTCAGAGAAAAAAGAAATATTAAAATCCATGCGGAAAGGGAAGTCTTGATTAAGCCTGCCCCAATAAACAGATGCTAAGTATAATTTCTTTCAGCTTAACATTGATGGGAGCTTTTGTTTATGGTCTTTCTTTTTATCATATCTTTTTACATGTACCAACATTTTTGTGAGCGTAGTTTTCAATAATTTTTCAATACTAAATTAAGATGTTGATAAGATATCTTAATTTAGTATTTAAAAATTATGTGAAATATTTCACACAATTTATCTATTTTGAAATATTTACACAATTTTAATTATTCTAAGCATGGTGTTTAATATGTGTAGCAAGTTGGTAACATCTAGAGTGATTTAGGTGCAAAAATTCCAATTAAGTTCTTGCTCCATGTTGAAAGAAGTGGCAAAAATCACAGGCAAAATCTACAGCGTGGAGTAATACACATCCATTATTTAAGGGAGAGTAAGATTTTAATTGGTCCCAGGCATCATCAGAGATGAAAGGCTATTGGGAAATGACTAGATGCCCAGAGTTTCAACTTAATGTGTAGCAGATGAATGAAGAAGAGACATAAGGAATTGATTTACAACATCTGAAAGTTTCCTAAAAAAAAACAAAAAAACCCTAAGAATAAATGTGTGTCTGTTTGTGTGCCTGTGTATGAAAGAGAAATGTCATTCTTAGCAAATCTTTTGCAGAATTAAATTTGATATAAATTAAAATGTATTGGCATTATGTACTTCACTTATGTCAAGGCAGTTTGTTTGTGAATGTGATCTTTAAACGGTCGCAACTATTCCAATATGTTGAAAATACAAATTCCAGAATCTCCAGCCAACAGAGACATCAGGGAAATGCAGACTAAATAGTTCCAGAGGGCTCAAGGTCAGGGAAAGCTGAATTATTATCCTAGCTTGAGACAGAGAGAGAGGAGTAGATATAATGTATATTTTGTTATGCGAAGATAACCCGTGGGGAATATAGTGGTTAAGATTTTGAAATTGTAATTCACCTTCAACCAAAGAACCTACTTAATAACTGGACCTTTGGTCTCTCTCTTTCCCTCAGGCCAACCCACTTCACAGGGTTGTTGTTGCAAGGATAAAATGTAAACCCTGTTTAACAAGATTTGAGCTCTTGGAGGAGAGATGAGATATATATCTCATAAATTGTCACATGCTATTATCAAAAAGGAGGATAGTCTGATGCTTCAGTACTGCAGTCTTTTTGAAAAGCATTTAATTTTCTCAATGTCTTTAAAAGCTCAGCCTCTTTGGGAAGAACAAGATATTTCAAATAGCCTGATGCCAAGGCATGGAACTCATAAACAGCTGTAATAACTGTCACCAAAAGCAGACCAAGTAGCCAGGGAATCCCTTTTAGCAAGAAGCTAAAGGTGTTCCCTAAAAATGTTTGTGGTTAATAATATGTCCCAAAGATGCTTTTTCAAAAGGCAACTGAAGATTTTCTTTGTTTTTCCTTGAAGACATTTCGCTTCTCATCCAAGAAGTTTCTTTAGTTCTTAATAATATGGTTAATAATACGGTTGTAGCATTTGGAATCAACTGAAGTGGTAGACACTTTCAGAACTAAGATTATGCTGTAATAGTAAGATGAAACAAAAATATTTTTCAGCAGAGCCTGGGTATATCCAAACATAAGCAAAGACAGTGCAATAGGCTTTGTTATGCAAACATACCCCAAGCATTCACTAAATCCAGGACAGAATCCAGAAGCAATTATGGTTTGAAGTAATAAAAAAGTCTGGAGAGGAATATACTGAACAGTATTGGTATAAAGTCAATCTAGTTGGATTTCTTTGACATTTCTCTTATCTCCTACCTATAATTTATTTGACTTAATATTTCTTACTCTTTTCCTGTGCTTTGAATAACATTGGTTACTTCAGAAGTGAATGTCCTGGGTATATGTGTATGATGTAAAAATGAATATTGTAAAGACTGGAATCATTACTACAGAGTTGCAACTATAGGTAAAGCAAAATAACGTTGTGAATAGGTTTTAATGGGAGCACTCATGCTCTTAAGCTTTTTCTCTCTGCATTAATTCCAACTGCATCATGGAAGATAGACAGAACATCATTGTTTATCAAGGGTTTTTAAGAAATCATAGATCAGTTCCAGCAAAAGTTAAGCACATTTTAGTGCCATTAACATTGATTGAAGCATATGTTTATAAATAGGACTTGGTATCTATACATTTATAGGTAGTACTTCAGTGTTCTATATATACTTTCTCATATTCACATCCAAGGAGGCTTAGACTACAGTCAACAGCACAGACCTTAATAGACAGGCAGGGCTTAGCAGAAGAAAAATGTTTACTAATACAGTTACTTTAGACAGCTATGAGACGGTACATGATTAGACAATGATTGCAGGTACGATTTAGCATCTCTAGGCACTGAGGGCAAAACTATGATTTAAGACCCAGAAAGGGGGCATGCAAAGTGATAGAAATTTTTGCCTTCACAATGCCCTGATTGGCCACTGTGTCAAAATTTGAGAACCTTTTGCTAGGAGCACTAAACTACTCTTCTTTAGGAGAAATAACTAGTGAAGAACAAGAAATGCCTCTCTTCTCACTTATTGCCATAAAATAACACTTCCTGAATATTGGTCCCTTAGAGATATATCAGAAGCCAAAGAGAACAGGATTAGTATATATTTCCTTTTTACTTTTCATATTGCTTCAAGCTACAATCTATAATTTCATCCAAGTATTGAATAACTATGCCCTGCTAGATTATAGCCTCAATATGTTTTTACCAAGGCTTCAAATCAATTGACTAATAGCATTAAGCTTGTTTTTTTTTTTAAAAAAAATTGCCTACTAATGTAGCTGTGCATACAATAAAATAGATTTGCTATCCAATGTGCAGTATTAGTTATTACAGAAATAATAAAAGGTGGGGTTAAAAAATCTAAAAAACCTGGGAGACCCTGAGTTCTATTACCACCTTAGGTGAAAAGCCAGCTGAGTGATCTTGGGCCAGTTGCTTCTTTCAGCCCTAGGAAAGAAGCAATAGCAAACCACTTCTTAAAAATCCTGGTAAGAAAACTTCAGGGACTTGTCCAGGCAATGTCTGAGAATCAGGCTAGATTGAATGGAAGAAAAAAAAAGAAACTCAAGCATTATACAAGCAGATACCTCTGTGGAAACCATGTGTCTCCTACAACCCAACAGAAAATGGCCCCAACAGGGCCCAGTGAATGGGAAGGGAGATGTTCATCTGCAGAACCACAAGTGGCCAATGGATGTTGGATAGATTCCATTTTGACAGTGTCATCAAGCACATCATTTATTAAGGATGCTAGATATTATCCACACCTAAAATTATGACAGGAGAAGAAGGAAAACACTAAAACTGAAACAGCTAAATATGATATTAAGCTTCTTCAGCTGTAGGATGGCAATGAGATGAAGAAAATGTTACCAGGCTATGCCATACAAAAACAGTTGCCAGGGCATATTTGCGCCTATTAGAGGGACATGAGAATATCCCTAATTGTCTCTCCAACCCAATATTGTCAAACTGGTTTGGAGTAGCTCTTCAGTTTCACATGCCAAGTTCTTTACCATTCCTGGTCCATGGCCCTTTTAACTGAAGTTGCCAAGGAGTCTGTCTTTACAAGGAGACCCTGGAAATTTTAGATGCAGAACTTTCAACATTGTTGTTACTCTAAATCCACTCAAGTGATGGTTTCTAGCAGAGAGTGTTGATGTGGGAAGTCTCCTCGGAGACATAAAACTGATTGGTAATGACTAGCGTTGTCTCCTCCTTTCTCTGATATTTTCATGAAGTTTCTGCTTTGGCCCCAATAAAATAATACACGCTCTACAGCTGCAATATTTGATGGGTTGCAAAACTGGGCTTCAAACTAAACTCAGCAAAATCTATTGGAAATGTCCCATTTTATAATTTTTCATCATGATAATCCTCTCCCCATGAAATAATTGTAAAACTACAGTGAACTATCCTCCAATCCTCAGAATGAACCTGAAACCATGGATAGTGAATCAAAACCAACTGATGGCAGACAAGGAGCCTATGTTCCTTGCAATTGAACCACCAAAAACATCTGTTTCTCTGTGTTAGTAATTCCACTTTTTAAGAAGAGTTTTTAAAAGATGGGAACAATTTCTGCAAATACCAAAAAAAAGCACCTAACCCCTAACTCATGCATTTGTAATTACCTGGTTTAGTCTGCACACTTCCTCAGTATGAGTTTAGCTAGAAATGCTGCATACATCTGAATTCAATCTATCAAAGAGAAAGAGAAAGGAAAAGAGGTATGAGTACTGGACACTTAACTATTCTTGCATCTGCCAAAACATTCCTGTGCCAAAAAAGAGAGAAAGAGAGTATATCCTACACTAGAACTGTTTTCTAAAGAAGCCACTTGACTCCAATTAAATGTTTAATTTCCTTAGAACAGTATTTTGGACTTAGGCCTTTGTTCTTCCTGGTAATTGGGATTTCTGTTGTAGTTTAGGAATTTCACTTATCTGCTGGCTTTGCTCCAGTGATCCAGCTGGCACAGTAAAGCTGGAGGGAAAGGAGCAACAGGCATCCTTTTGGTGGTTTTCTATTTGGCAGGGAATAGAAATGTAAGATGCCATCAGCTGGCTATGTGCTTAACAAGGAATTCTTGTACTTTGGGATGAAATGTAGACAGGGACAGAATTTCAGTATCTTAAGCACAACTTTTTGAATGGAAAAAAGGAGATTTGAACCATATATCCTTGCTTGTTATCCCACAGTGAAAATCTATTGATGGTGCATCAATACAGGGAGGCCAGAAAAATCCAACATACTAATATAATTTCTGAAATTTTGGAGTGGTTTTTCCCCACTTGAGTTCAGGAGGAACAACTATACTTGTATGTTTAGAATTGAAAATGTTATGAATCATAAGCTATCTTGTGAGTGTATCTTATGAGTATTATTTAAATTATAATACATTCAATTTATACAGCTACCATCATAAAGTAGAATTTGGAGTATTAAATTAATAATGAAAAGCAATAACATACATTCTAAATATAGGACCATATAGTTGGTCCAGGGAACGTAAAAAGACTTAAGCCTGGTGCTTACCAAATTTGGTACCAATAAACATCCGTTTGAAGATTTCTTCAAATGCCAATGTTGGATTTTCTTTCTTAATCTGGTTAAATGTCAGAGTTTGGACTATTTGAAGAATAGCCTTAAGTTATAAAGTTAACATTTTAATGAGTGGAAGAGTTACAAACAGAGTCCTAATTTCTACTACCCAGACTTTCAGTTTCTAAATGCATGTAATATAAGGCCCAAAACCAAGAATGGGATTTGGTGATTCTTACAAACTGATTTTTTAAAAAAATTCACATCTATTATACACTACATTGTTTCCCTGAAAATAAGACACAAGTAGAAAATAAGTCTTAGCATGATTTTTCAGGATGCTTATAATATAAGCCCCACCCCAAAAGTAAGCCCCAGTTAAGATCATCTGCATTTAATACTGTATTTCCCCCAAAATAAGACTTACCTGAAAAATAAGCCCTAACAAGTCTTTTGGAGCAAAAATTAATATAAAACCTGGTCTTATTTTCAGGGAAACACGGGTACAGACATAACCTTGTCAGACTGACAATTCTATTATAGAGTCTTAAGACAACTTTCTGCCATTGGCTCGACACCACCTCCTTACCCGAGCTGTCATGCCCCCACCAATTTATCATGGGGCAACTCGCCATGGAACAATTCCTTTTATTAGTTACATCAGTCTAAAGTAATGTAATGGGAGAATGCCAGAGGTGAGAGGAGCCTTCTGCTCCTCCTCTGTAGCTGGGACTGTGGGGGGAAAAGCAGGACAAAATGGGGATGGGAAGAGGGAGTCGTTCCCCTCAACCAGAAGAAAAATCATTTGGGAGAGAGTCTCGCAGATTTAAGGGGTATTGGTCAGAGAGGGTAAGCCAGATTAAGGAAGAAGAGAGGAAGAGAGTGGAGGAGGAGAGGGTGGTTCCCCTGGCTTCCAGCCTTCTCCTGTGTTGAGTTGCCTGCAGTGACCCAGCAGTGACAACCCAGCTGTGGTGAGTTTTTCTATGGTGTCTATCATATGCATCTGCAATACACGCTTTGAGCAATTAGGGAGAGTTTGCCTTCACACTCTTTCATATGTAGCATCCAGACTGAAAGTTTCTTACTCCTCTGGAATGCGCCTCCTTACTACATGCCATCATATCTGGACGGCATACAAAGTGCTTTTCCCTTTCTGCAGTGTTTCTCAACCTTGGCAACTTTGAAAACTTGGGGATTTCAAATCCCAGAATTCCCCAGCCATCCAGCTGAGATCCACAGGTCTTAAAGTTGCCAAGGTTGAGAAACGTTGGGTTAGAATAAGCAATTAGGTCACCGTGACTAAATTCTGCTACCAATCATCATCAGCCAGCAGTGAGCCTATCTTCTTTAATATCTCTCCTTTAAATTAAAACAGTTGCTGGTGCTTTTAAACTGCAAAAAATTCTTTTTTATATATCCAATCTTCATGAGCACCATGTTGTCTGAATTTTGGTGAGCTAAATGAGAGAAAAATGAACTTGATAGTGAAGAAGCCTTTCCCTCCCCCTTGCACACACCTTTTGGGGGGATTAGCAATGAGATATTTTGGCTTTCTTTTGGGCAGTTGTCTTATGTAGCTTAGGACTGTTGTAAAAGTACCTGAGGGCAGGACAAGAAGCAATGGGTGGAAACTAATCAAGGAAAGAAGCAACTTAGAACTAAGGAGACATTTCCTGACAGTTAGAACAATTAATCAGTGGATCAGCTTGCCTCCAGAAGTTGTGAATGCTCCAACACTGGAAGTTTTAAAAAAGATGTCGGATAACCATTTGTCTGGTTTCCTGTCTAAGCAGGGGGTTGGACTAGAAGACCTCCAAGATCCCTTTCAACTCTGTTATTCTATTCTATTGTATTCTTAAAATCTAATTCTCCTGTTAGAGTCATGAAAACCATGATTTCTGTGTTAATCTGTAGCGAATACCTTCCTTTTATACAGCAGTTAGTTGTGAAGTCTTAGTTAGACCAAGAACATTACAGGAAATCCTTGTCTTATGACCAATTGCTTAATGTTATGCCAACCTCCCTGGGCTACTTAAACCCAAATTTGAAATTACAGCAGCCACTCGGTCCTCCATGATCAAGTAATAGCATGTTGGACACCCAGCATCCAGCACACATTGAGGACCATTTGAATCATTCCCACAGTCACATGACCACAAGTTACAATGTTTTTTTTGCCAGAAACAGGCATTTAATTCTGGTTTCCAGCAAAAACAAAAAAAAACCTCTCCACCCATTGCAGACAGTGGATTCGCTTAATGGCTCTCACAAAAAAGGTCTTAAAATCAGACACGTTCATATGATAATCCACTTAACAAGCAGCACAATTTATGACCATAATTCTGGGCTCAGTTACAGTTGTAAGTCAAGGACTATCTGTAGTGTACACCCTGTTGAGACAACTTCTGGAGTCGTTTTTCATGAGGAAATTATTCGATGCCTCTCTTTCTTAAGTGCGCTGCCTCCTGGCTTCTGCAGGAAGGCATAATATAGTGATACCTTGTTTTAGTGGATTAATTTTATTCCAGAATGTCCATTGAATGAGGAAAATGTAGTCCACTGCGTGCAAAATTGATTGCATCAAGATCTGGTATACGGAGGTTTTTATAGAGGTATAACATTGTGATGCATTTGTGAAATATTTCCCTTGACAAGTTATTTTCTAATGCTGAGGATTGCTGCAATCAAACTGAATCTTCATATCTTCACTATGCTACATAAATACAATGAGGCCTTTACAAAACTCCAGAAAACTCTTATCATTGTGTGATGGTAGTCATAGCAGCTACCAGTAGTTAACTGGCTTTTTCTGATCTCAGAAGGTTAAGCAGGGTTGGTCCTAGAATAGTCACCACAACTTCCTAGGAAAAACAGGGAAGTTGAAAAAGATCCTGGAAGAGGTGAAAGACAATAGTATGAGTGTATCCAGGTATCTACTAGAAATCCACCTTGACTCATAATACATGGATTTTTTTTAAATTTGCTTTTGTGCTTCCCTTAACATTTTGAGCCAAGCATACCTCAAAGCTTAATTCTATCTTAAATCTTCCCCCATTTAATGATTATGACTGGAGCATTGCTTGGGTATTTAGTGAGATCCAAAACTGTTGGTTTCAAGGAGGAGTTTCTTAAAACCAATGCATTTCCTTTCTAAAGGTTAGATATCAGTGGTTTCTGACCATTATTACTGTTTTTTAATTGGATCAGCTGTAGTGGAATTGATTTATAAGTCATAAAAATGCACCAGCCGCAGTTTACCAAATCTTATGTGCTATAGTGGCAAGTGTTCTAAAGGAGACCCTAGCTTTGGCCTGTCAAATGGCCAAGATTTGGATATGTTGGATATTCCACTGTGTAGTAAAAAACTGGTTTGAAGTTTTCTCCTTCCCTCGCACAATTTCTCAAAATAGATAGCTTCGTACTCATTCTACCCATAGAATTTCTCACCAATTTTTTTTATATCCTTTGTTCTTTTCACCCCATCTCTCTATGCAGAGTTGCTGGAACTGTGGCCGTAAAGCCAGCGAAACTTGCAGTGGTTGCAATACTGCACGTTACTGTGGCTCATTTTGCCAACATAAAGACTGGGAGAAACATCACCACCTCTGTGGACAGACTCTACAGGCCCAGCCACAAGGGGAGACACCAGCAGTCAGCTCCTCTGCAACACCGAATAGTGGAGCCAGGAGCCCCATCGACACCCCACCAGCAGCTACTCCCAGGTCAAACACCCCTGGAACTCCAAGCACCATAGAGTCAACTCCTCGCTAAGACTGAACTTTAAAATACTTAAAGACAAATACAAAACAAAACAAAATCCTCATCCTCAGATACTCAAAGGTTTCTGCTGAACTTTCACATTTCAATATTATAAAAGAAATTATACTGTATCTTGAGGTAGAAGCAAAACCCAGAAGGCCAGTAACGGGTCATAATGACTTATTCTGGATAACAAAGATATCTTTTCTTTAGGAAACAGAGAAGATTGAACATACACACAATGATAGATTTGACCTCCTCCCTGTTATTTTCCAGTAGCTGGGATTTTAAACTAGGTGACCTCATTAACACAATGCTTTACCAAACAGCAAACCAAGAGATTGCTAATTGCTGTTGAAAGCAAAAATGCTAATAATATAAAGTCACAATGTTCTTTGTAACAAAAAAATGGATTTTTTTTAACTGCGAGAAAGAGAGAGAGAATGAGAGAGAGAGAGAGAGAAAGTAAGAAAGAAAGAAAACAACCCCCCCTCATGGGCTTAAGCATTGGATAAAGCCGCAGACATTTTAATAAGAAGATGAATAGCGTCC